TCAGTTGCCTTTAATTTCCTTGTTCATTATGAATACAAATATAAGCTCAAGGGCATCAGATCTCCGTCTATGATTGTGCACAGACACATGCAAACATTCTTGCCCATGTTAGCCGAGATATGCTTCAGTTATACTATATGCCATATTTTACTTCTTTAACCATTCATAAAGCACCTGGCAGCTACTTCTATTATAACTGCTGATTATTATCTCATTTAATCGTGTAATTTTTGGTCTAATAAAATGACAAAAAACTGTCACATTCAAATGTTGCTGTGTCCAAGTGACAGTACAAAACCCCAAAAGAGTCAGTTACATATTGTGAAAAAGAAAGAAAATGAACAAATCTTTGTATCTGCAAAGCTGGAAACAATAAATATGTATAAAAAAGTGTATATGCCGTTTAATCTTCTGCTGATCAACTAAAGGATTAATTGATTAACCGTTTAGCTTCAAAAACACACATAATACGTAAGAAACCGTAAAGTCTTTTACATTTAATTTCAATGTATGACTGTACATCGAGCAAATTCATGGCAAGCTGTCTTTACTAAAGCATAAAGGTGGATGAGAATTGCGCAGGTTCCCATTCAATTAAAAGCAAAAAGGCTCTAACCACTTCCCATATCTCCTCGTACTTTACACCTGTACGCTTTGCTCTCAGGGAAAGTCGAAATTACACTGGAAAGAGAGGAAAATGGCAGCAGCATGGTATAATGAGGAGGAAAGAGCAAAAGGAGTGCAGGACCTTGTTAAAAGCCCCTCTGTGACAGCCAAGGAAAGGCTGCAGCTCTGAGTCATTAAGAAAGAGAGAGTTTCAGAGGCGCATGCTGCAAAATGTGGAGAGGAGTGCAGGCTGGGAAAGGGAAGCTCAAGTAGTAGCTCTCTGTGATAATGTTAGTGGGAAAGCATAGAAGCAATGAGAATGAGACAAAAACCAACTATCAGTTTGAGAAATTGTAATATTTACCATTTCGTTTAACCACACCTTTTTACTGGGAATCAAAACCTTTGCCATGGTCGTTGTAAAACTTTACAGTAAAGGCATGGAGATTGCAGGGCAATGTTTCCTACTTTCTTAAAATCTACTGATGATCATTAAATTATCTTTTTTTCATTTTTTAAAGATCTTTTTATGAAAACTTGCCTTTATTTGACAGTTGACAGTCTAGAGACACAGCCAAACAGAGGGAACATACAACAAAGGTTCCTCACTCGGAAAAATGTGAGTGCTAGTTACCATATGCAGTACGCGTCTTATCGGCCAGCTCCCAGAGTGTTTTGTCAATGCCTGTCACGAGTTTAATTCTGTCTGACATATTTGCTTATTGAACATCACCAATCTTTATTTTCTTCACTGTCAAAACATGGCTATCATGTACTCAAAGTTATTCTTCTTAACAATTTCAGTCATGGCTCATTTTAGGGACAGCTGTGATTAGAGAAAAAGCTGTTTAAAACTACATCAAGCACTTATTAGGCAGCCTCTTTGTCAAAAATACAACAGAAGGGGCAACTGTATAATCTGTTCAGGAGCCAGTCATAATAACTGAAATTTGATTTCATGCTACACACTATGCGAGTAGTTTTCCAGACACCATCAGGACACACTAAAAGGAGTTTATTACCATGCGGAGGAGTTGAAGGTGTGCAGCTTGTCACCTGCAACTCACAGCTGCTCCTTCATCTTCCATTACCCCTTAGCAGAAATTTTAAATGATTTGCTGACGAAAAATGCTGAAAATGACTGTTGTTTTGAGATGGATTTTTGATGAAGTGTTAAACAAATGCAACCATCACAGAAGGTAACGTTCATAATTTGTATTATGTATGTGCTCTTGCGCAAATGCTCTGCAAAACAACGATGGAAAAAACTGTTATTTGTGACTTTTTCATACTCAATAAACAGCAAACTTTCTGGAGTTTTTGACCTCTGTAACATCACAACTATTTTACCTCAGTGAGTCTTCAATCATTCAATCCTTGTCAAATGTTCAGTCACAGACACTGAGTTTGGAAAATAGAACAAATGAATAATTCAACGGCTGAAGCTGCCTATCAGAGGAACTAACTCCTCTGGTGTTTGGATGCCATCACAGATAGTGGTCGTCACGCACTTAATGAATAAGAGTGTAGACAACAGCCTTTGCATTTGGAAATAAGATTTCTGATCCTTTAAATATCCAGGCACAACTCATGGCTCAAGAAAATGTCCAGTTTGATTTCAGAGCAGGAGAGTAGCATCAAAAGAATTTACTATTCACATTCAGCACTTGAAGAGTTTTCTTACACTGTGACGTACAAAAACATTCCCCGGGAACCAAATATATTCTTCTTACATTCTTCTACCAATAGAACTTTCCTGTGGTGTCAGTCAGGTGAGAATTCAGTATTCATTTTCTATTTTGGTCTCAATGTGTCACTTAATAGATTTGAAATAGCTTCTCAGCTGCTTGTGTCCCACGTTTTTCTATTCCTCTTCACAAATCCTAGAACTCTTAGTCCACACTGCTTTGTTACCAGAGATGTACAATGTACAATCTTATGAATGGCACGTCTCAAACAGGATGTGCTTGAATTGACTTGCTACTCAGGTTCTGAGTTTCTACTTTGCAGGTAATGTTGATGTAAAGTTGTATTTCTGCTCCTTCTTTCCTGCTAAAAGCACTGATTTTAAGAAGACACACATTTTAAAAAAAACCTTTTAATCTGTGAACACCCCATGAAAGATGGAGTCGCCCTTGCAAGTTTTTAGCATTTCAAAGTCATCCTACTGTATCAAGGATAGAAATCTAAAGTTGAGAGTCTGGGGAACAAAAGCAGTGGAGGGACAGCACTCTCCTTTGGCTTCAGTTCTCCTCTGGCTGCCATGTTCCCCAAGGCTGATGGATGAAGGAAGAAACTCATCTCGTGACTAATTATTTATCCTTCCTCCAGAACTGTTGTATCTGGGGGCTGGAAATTACACAAACCTCTGCTCTGACCAAGTAGTAAACAAACCAGAGTGATGGAGCTGACTGAGCCTCCCTATTCTCCCTCATAAGCCTGTAGAGCAAAGCTGCTATACATACAGCCCAAAGGCAAAGTCTGGCAGGTTATACTGTATTTATCCTTTCTAAGGTTTTGTGGAAATATTAAGTATCTTATGTTAGATTAAGAACAGTATAGTTTTATCACGGGTTAATGGTCTTGATATCACCGTTGCAATTAGGGCTGTTCAGAAGGATGAGAAATAGTAAAACCCTAAACTAACGTTACATTTCAAAATGGACTGTTTCATTCACCGTGTTTCCTGCCTCACCTAAGTGACAAGTTAGCAGTAGACAGGTTCACTTTTGTAAGGCAGTTCATGATTTTTCCATCTGTCCTAAAGAGTCAATATTATCTATTTGGCATAGCTCCCTTATTTCCTCTGAATGCTCCTTTCATGACCTGCTGCACTAATACACTGTGAATTTTGAATATGTTTAATTGCTTTCTCCATGTTTAAATTGTACTATAATGACAAAAAATGTACAATAAACTACTGGTAATGTTTACAATAGTCCGTTTGTTGTCCTCTGCTAGTAAGAAAAGAAAAGTTGTACTTTGTGTTGTCATGTTATAACCTGGTTATACTTATGTAAAAAAAAAAAAAAAAGTCAAATTTATTGCCCTCAATCAGGTGTCAGTTTTTCCCAGAAGTATTGAAAATAGTATCATATATCGATATTTTTCAAGGTATTCTATCAAAGTTCATGACAACATTAGTGCAGACTTACACTTAAAACTGAGCAGACACCTAGCAGAAAGCATTCAATTCTAACAGGAGAGGCCGGTGTCCTCTAGCACTCTGGGCTCCTATGATCTCTTATTCATGCATTCAAGGTGAGAGGCAAGGGGAGTCGCTACAAGTGAGAGCCCAGTGGGTCAGAGAACAGGGATGAAGGGGGAAAGAAAGCACTAGCGGCTGAGAGATGGAAGGAGTGAGAGGAACAAGGAGGAGAAAAGCTCTGACACCGTCTCATACTTCAATGAATCTATCAGTGGCTGCAGAGAAGAAGAAAGGCTCGGGTCATGGAGTTCCACACAGACCAGGATCAAAGGGAATCTCCATCTGATCAAAATGTTGTTTGAATGTTTTATGATAGCCAAGGCACTGAGGTGAGGCCTGAATAAGACGCAGCTCAACAGAGCTCTGATCAGAGGCGCCGTGTGCTGAGAACATCACAGCGAGGAACAGTGTACACACATAATTCAAAATGTTGAGCTAATATATATCCTAGTGTCACATGATTGATGCACCCACATACATATATTCAAACACACATCTAATTAATTGGTGTTGCTGAAGGTTAAGTATAATGTATCACATCTTTTTTTTTATTATCAACCATCATCTCATTTTCATATGCTCACACCGACAGTACATTGCTAAGGATAAACACACACGCAGCAAAAATACAATCATTCATGTATAAATTCTGCCCATGCACAGAAACTTATATGATTCTTTCAGCTCTGACAAAGGCCTTAAGGATGCAGGAAAAGTACTGCATTCAAAGACTCATTTCTTAGGAGGACAGAGCACAGGACAAAGGTATTTACAGTTTATTATGCTGATGTCATCACTAAAGACTCATGAAATGCAAGAGCACAAACATTCACGCACACAGACTACTTTAGAGTTGAGCATGTTGTGCTGTCTCAGAGCTTTCATTTCATTTGTGCATAATACAGTAGATGAAAGGGATTTCTGAAGTGCTAACATCGTGAGCACATCAACAAGCAAATAACATGAATAATGCACAGCTAAAAGAAATGAAACAGCTACAGTATACTTTGTGCAAGCCTTTAAGGTCAAGCCTGGGGACATACTGTACATCTCTTACCAAGATATAATGGATCTAGGAGGTAAAAAAGAAAACTCACTTTAAACGTGGGTCACTAGTGAACTGAACATGTAATGGGTTAACTCACTCCACTGACATGAGGAAATGGGAGGAGACTGGCACTCACTGCTGAAAGTGAAACTAAGAGGAAGAAAAGGCCACGTTTTTATTTTCTCTTATAGATCTGAAAGTTTAAGAGAAAAATCCATACACCAGGTAAAGTTGCATTTTGTCAAGTTGTCTTTTATGTACACTAGTATATTTTAAACATTTTAAACTATGACTCTAGATCGAATTGAACTTTGCTCCACTTTCAATTTGATTCATCATTTCTCCTTATATTTTCTAGACATGTCTTCTGCCAGAAGTCTAGTGCCTGAGGAGAATTTTCTTTGTTCCATATGTCTTAGTGTGTTCAATAAACCTGTATCGACTCCCTGTGGACACAACTTCTGTCTCGATTGCATCACAAACTTCTGGGAAACTAAACATACCGCTGTTAAGTGTCCACTGTGTAACGAGACATTTGACAGCATACCAAAGCTCCGGGTTAACACTGTCATTGCTGAAATGGCTGCAAAGTTGAAAAGAGCAGTTCAAGAAAATCCACCTACCACCACTGAACAAGCAGGAAATGGAAATGTCCTCTGTGGTGTCTGCCAGGGGGCAAAGCTCAAAGCCCTGAAGTCTTGCCTAGTGTGCTTTGTGTCTTACTGTGAAGCTCATCTCGAGCCTCACACAAAAATTTCAGCCTTGAAGAAACACAAGCTGATCCACCCAGTGGAGAACCTGGAGAGCAGGATATGCAAAACACATGACGAGCCTTTGGAGTTCTTTTGCGGGGTGGATCACATGTTCATATGTGGGTCCTGCAAAGACAGTGATCATAAAAGCCATAAGACAGTGACTGTAGAGGAGGAGGCTCAAATGAAGAGAACCCAGTTGGGAATAGACATGAACGACACAGATCAGATGATCCGGGTACGTCAGCAGAAGATTCAGGAGATTCAAGATTCAGTGGAGGCTAGCAGAAATAATGCAGCAAAGGCACTGTCATACAGCATGCCCGTGATGACTGCTGTGGTGGAATACATTAAGAAAAGCCAAGCTGAGCTGACTGAGGTAATTGAGACAAAGAAGAAAAAAATTGAAACAGAAGCAGAAGGCTTCATTAAAGAACTGGAGGAAGAAATTATGCAAATAAAGCAGAAAAACCTGCAGCTTAATCAGGTCTCAGTTGCTAACGACCCCTTCATTTTCCTTGAGAATTTCCTTTCACTTACCATCACTCCACGCCAGGTTAAAGACTGGTCTGATGTGACTCTTAACAGCAATGTTTACGCAATGGAAGGAGCCATGACCAAACTGGTGACATCAGTCAAGAGAGAAATAAGTATGCTGTGCGATCCAGACTTGAAAAAAATGGAGCAGCATGCTGTCGATGTTACTCTGGATCCTGACACAGCAAACCCATGGCTCATTGTTTCTGAGGATGGGAAACAGGTCACACATGGAGACAGAAAGAGGAATCTCCCAAACAAACCAGAGAGGTTTGATCATGTCCTTAATGTCTTGGCAAAGGAGGGTTTCTCCTCAGGAAAGTTTTACTACGAGGTCCAGGTTAAGGAGAAAACACACTGGGATTTAGGAGTTGCAAAGGAGTCCATCAACCGGAAGGGTGATATTCGACTGAGCCCCCAGAATGGATACTGGACTATCTTGCTGAAGAAGGGATATGGGTTTACAGCCAATGCAGGCCCTGCCATTAACCTCCATGTTAGGGAAATGCCTCAAAAGATTGGGGTGTTTGTTGATTATGAGGAGGGTCAAGTTTCCTTCTATAATGTGGATTCCAGGGCTAAGATCTTCTCCTTCACAGGATGCAACTTCACAGAGAAGCTCTTTCCATTCTTCAGCCCCTGTGCTAATGATGGCGGCAAAAATTCAGCCCCCTTGATCATTACTCCTATCAAATACAACAGCTGAGGTTTCATTTTGTTCTTTAGGTTTATGAAAAGAAAACAAGACGGGGGAAACATCACAATTGTAGAATGCTGAAATATTTTTATCTGTAAAACTCCAGTGGTTCCCATCCATCAGTGTCAGTGCTGCTTGGTGTCACTAGGTGTTGCCTGTCACACAGACAGCTGTAGATCTCCAACAGAGTCCCCATGCAGCCATCGGGTCATTCACTATCCACACACATATTGTACACACACCTCGGCAGCACATTGTAGCCATACAGCTCCCTAACAAATCGTTATGAGGTGGCTGTTAATATCGATAAAGCTGCTATTGTCTGCCAACATGGCCATACAAATACCAGAGCTACTGTAGGGCAAACTGTGATTGCAAATATTTTATAGGATTTGTTTTGTGCTGGTTGGAGTGCCATATATCAGGACTGTTTACTTATGACATGACAGCTTAAAATGTGATGTTTGTTTTAATGAATGAAAAAACAAAAACAAATTGCTGCCTTAAATACAACTGACATTTTACTAGTGCTTTATAACTGATATTGGTCGAATTAGTTTTACTTTAGGTCATGCATGCAGCATGTTATTTGAATTCATTTCTCCAAGTGTGCTATTGAGAAGTAAGCTACATGGCATTATTTGCCTCAGTGGGGGTCAACCACTGTACAGCAGCAACATGCCCAGCAAGAAGTAGCTAAATAGTGTTAGGTATTTTTAGTCAGATAGATATTGGTTAGGTACTTGTTGTATTAGAAATGTCTTTAGTGTAGACAGGATATCTAGCTCAGGCTGTTAAATGCTTACTCATTTCCATGAGTTACTCCAGGTTGTTTATGGTCAAGGATAACTAGATAGAAAGTGGCTACTGTATGATATGTTTAGCCATAATCTTAATCATAATACTGTATCTTCCTAGGCTTAATGTCCGGACATGTCCCTGAATGTCCTGTATGTTCTTAGCTACACACTACTTAATCAACACTCACACACATTGATTTTCTCCATGTTTTGACTACTGCTATGGTCAGCTGTAAAGCTGGCATATCAGGTGATGCCACGGTTTGACGTGCCTGTGTAGAATGGGGTTAGCCCAAACCAGATATAATGTACAGGCCTGTTGGGTTCGGGGTCTTTCATCTTTCATCTGCCTGTGTGCAGTTTGGAGGTGCAAAATGCCTGAGGGTGTAATGTTAATTTTTACCTGTGTTCATGGAATAAATCAGCACTGTTTTGTAGTTACTTGGACTGCCTCGCCTCTCAGAGTCAGTATGGTAAAAAGTACCGGGTACAACAATAGCAATGTGTGTATTTCATTGGTATACAAAATAAACCAATTCTTAACAATGTACTGCTTATTATTTCATTGAAGCAGGGGTTTAATTTGCCGTTTACATGCATTTCAAATGTACTCCGGCTTCCTACCACAGACCAAAGACTCACAGTTTAGGTTGACCGGTGACTCAAAATTGCATGTAGGAGTCTAAATGTCTAAATGTTGTGAATGACTGCTGACCTGTCCAGGGTGAACCCCGCCTCTCACCCAACGTCAGCCTCTAAGATCATGCATTTCTGACATTATCTAATTAGGTCAAGATGACCTTGTGATCTGTAAATTAAAGGTAACAGAAAAAAATCTGAAGTTGGAGTTACAAAGGGTCAAATACCACCAATGATACATGATGCACATTTGATATGGAACTGCTGCCGGACTATATTAGTGATAGATAACATATCTGATTAGGTGATCTTCAACAATGTTAATCAAGTAACTGTTTAAATTGTGTATAAATGGAAAATGATGAACACTGTTTGGTTCTAGCTTATCAAATGTGAAGATCTGTTGCTGTTCTCAGTTATGAATCATTTTAAATCAAAAATTGAGTTTGGGACTCTTAATTTCAAGTAATTTTTGAAGGTGTGACTTTGAGCTTTGATTAGTTCTTGATTGTTTTCATTACTGCTTGTGTGTTGAACTGACTGAAAGCTAAATAATTGATAAAGGTGATTTAGGAAGTTGCAGACAGTCATTTCTTTCATTTCTTTATTTGGACACATACTCGCTAATCACCCACAACAATCTAAGAAACCCTGCCAACACAGAAAGACAGTGGATGCTGAATTGCTTCAATATGTAATTAAAAGTGCATCTGTCACTGTGCAAAGTATAAACACAAATTAGATTCTCTTGACAGCCTGAGATTCCAACAACATACACTTAGCAATTTTGTAGTCACCACTTGCAAAATAATCCACTGCATTTCTCTCCCAGTGATTTGAAAAACAAACAATGTTAATTCTGCCTGTCACAAACAAGGACACAAATGAGCTTTTAATTATTTGGCATGGACATTTGCATGCTGTAACTTAAGTGATAACTGGTTATTTGCAGGTGCTCAATATAAAACTTGAGTTAAGCTCATGAAATCACAGCTTTAGGTCACAACAATGCATCAGATTATATGAACTCATGACATGTTTTATATGAAAAAACTGAATCTGCAAAGTAACTGGTAACCATATAAAATAAATGTACAGAAGTATAAAGTGTAATATTTCCTTCTGAAAAAACAAGTATAAAGTAAGTAAGTACTGTTGGTTACTGGATCCTCTGGCAAAGAATGTACTTTTTAGGTTTAAAATATAGGTTTAAATATTTTTTAAAAAGTGAGAGCTGTAGGCTAACTGATACAACGTCTCCATAAAACTACAGTATATAAAAAAGTATTTTCTTAAATGCATACTAAACATTTCAGGTTTCCTCACAATACCTTCTTACTGCATCTCTTAAAGGTTAATGTGCCTTAGAGTGTATTATCTGCATTTTCTTTGTTTTGTTTACATTTTTATTTTTCACAGCACTTCATTAGAAGTAGAGTTTATTCCTTAAAAGGACTTAAAATGATCTGTTATGCTTTAAATATAGCAGCTCTACTGTATTTGAGATGTGCTCCAGTTTAATACTGCCATGGAAACAGGCTCATTATTAAGGGCTCCTAACAGAGACAGTTTTACCAGCCTAAGGCTTTTGTGTCGGACCACGTTTTTTTAATTAAAAGCATAGTCCTAGAATGTATACTGTCCTGCTGCTAGTGAAATAAGACAGGCGTTGATTTGTGAAGCTAACTAAGAACACGTCACATGTACTGTAACTGCTACTGATCCAGTCAGTGACTGAAGCCCTGCTCCTCCAACACACCGGCAGCTTTTTTCACTGCTCATGTCTTTTGTATAACCATGACAGGAGTGTAGAGAGAAGGCCATCCAGGACTGCTGTGAAATGCTGATATCAATAGAAAAAGGAACATTCATGCTGTTTTTGCAGGGTCCTGAGGCAGTCTTGCATATAGTTTAAAAGGTGTGGTATCTCACGATATGTAGAGTCTGTATAAATGAACCAGAATTTATAACTGAAATGCTGTTAGTCACCAATCTAAAGATGAAAAGCTTTTTATTAAAGTATGCATCATACCTTCAGTAATTACGTTCCTGTTACTAAATATTGCATTTATTTATTATTATTATTCATTAGTAGCTCCGGCATCTGTAACTGGACACATTTTCTTATTTTATCTGAAGTATGATGACCACTGGTGTTGCGTGATTGGGATATACTGTACACCTACAGTTGAACAGCTGTGACTCCATTCAGTTGTGTGTATAATCGCATTACTGTAGCCCTTTACTGTAGTTCTTAACAACTGCGATCTGTTAAACAGAAGCCATTAGGTTGTAATTTCTCAACCCTGAAGTCAAGCCCTGACATATGCCGACAGGATAATGTCAAATTTCCATCTTTGATATTTTGTGATATATTGCTTGATATATTTTAGCCACACTAGGAGTGTAGCTGTAGGTAAGGCAGTATCAGTTAGCCGGCCCACCACCAAGTAGCACTAAAGTATCTGACACTGAAATATCTCAGTAATTACTGGATGCATTGCCATACAATTTGGTACAGGGCTTCACAATCCCCAGGGGATCCTACTGATCGCCTGAGTTTTCTTATAGCACCACCAGCAGGTCAAAGTCTTCTCTTACCTAGTATTTTTGCATTTTGTAGTTAATAAAAGGCATTTTCACATTTTGATCTATGAAATAAAATATGCCAATAAATACCCTACTCATGATTTTTAATGCTTTTACATGTCTTTTAAAAAATGGTGGTTGCTAACAAATGGCCAAATGAGACTACAGAGGCTGTCTGTGATATTAATCATCATCACGCCGAATACGGAGACTAATCCATTCACTAGTCCACCTTTACAACCTCGTTATTTTTAAACTTGGGCACTTGCAAAATTCTAACTAACTGACACAGCCATGATCACTAGCTACATCAGGTCACGCTAAGAGGAAAGAATTTTGTAGAAGAGGTAAGCACACTGAATCAAATTACAAGTTTGAAGTTCATTTATAGCCTAACGATAGCTTTTTCTATCTGGCGATTGTATTTGGACTTATAAAAAATCATAAAAGTTATCTTCACTTGTGAAGATTATCTTGCTGAACAAAATAAGTGTCAATAGCTTATTTTCTGCAATAAACCAAAAGCCTATGGAAAAATCTTATTGGCTTTTTGTCGAGGGAACCGGATTGGCCTATAAAAATACTTCATCCCCATGGCACTCGATACCTCAACATCTGGATGAACTGCTATAAAATTCTGTACAGACGTTTGCAGGTCCCCAGTGATTTACACCACAGGCAGGTTTGCTGCATGTCTCCCAAAATTTCCTCTACAGACACTATGGTTCTGGGCAATTACACTGACTTAATGATATACCTGACAGCATGTGAAAAATACAAATACATCACATGGGGTGTACATGTGGATGTGTCTGTGTTTCTGCAGGCACACATGCCCTCTCTCCTACAGTACGTGTATCTAATGAAGTGCCAAATGTAATGAGATAAATCTATCCATTATGGTCCCTTAATGAGGCTAAATCCACACACCTGTTAATGGGTCAGTGCTCTATCTGTTGTCCTCAGAGAGCTGCAGGACCAGAGTGAAACTGGAGCTCACCTAAACCCAGATAGATTCAGACCTTTTCTAAGCCACTAAATCCAGAGCTCCAGCTGTTGGAGATCTCCACCATTTAGCTGTCGGGCCTTCGGGGAGTGACTTCAAGTTAGCAAGCAGCAACAAAAGATAGACAGTGGAGTCATAGCTCACACAGGGAAACACTAATCATCTGTAATCATTGATCTGCCATTACTGGGCCATACTCATTAGCCTGATGGAACAACGCTCTGTAGAATTCTGCTGTTAGTGGGCTATTAGTAACTTTCCAGCTACTGCTGTGCCAAATGTGTTCTATACACGTGCACTACATACTGTGCAACAATGTGTGGCTGATGTAACATTACGGAGCGCAAACAATTATTCAGAAAAGGACTTATCCATCCATTATCTATACCGCTTGTTCCTGAATAAGGTCATCAGGGCGGGAGTGAGGGGGCTGGAGCCAATCCCAGCTGAGAGGCGGGGTACACCCTGGACAGGTCGCCAGTCTGTTACAAAGAAAAGGACTTATTCAAACAAATAGAACTTCTCAATTCAAAGTATTTGCTTCATAGTTTCATTTCATCTGTGGAAGTAAATGACAGCAAAACACTGTCAGACCAGGAGCCGATGCTGTGTATTGACCTTCCAGGTTGAAAACGAAGAAGAGAGACAAAGAAAACACAAAGAAAAGTTATGTCTGGCAGTACAAACTATCAAAGTTTGGAGAGCATTTTCATATGAAAGTGGCTGTGGAGGCAGGCCATGCTGTTGTTTACCTACCACAATGCTGAAGTGCCTGCTGCCTTCAAGTACCTAAGAGTCTGGGTAGTTATAAAACAACAAGAGCATCATGCTGTTTATAAGACAACACAGTACGCCAGGAGAAGTGCACACGCATGCCATTATTTACGTATCACAATGACAAAACAGTAATGTATCAATGTGCACTTGCCAAATCAATGTCTAGTATTAATGGTTGCTCATTGTATTATTGTATTGTATAATAAAAGGATAAGTCTTCTTATCTGAATACTGAGATAATTGCAGAGTACTTTATAATGAAAATTAGCAATAGCTGCAGCCTTACACGTGAAGGTGAAATAGCATTTACAAGACAAGCTTTCTAATTCAAGATTTTGTGAAAGAAGTACATTATAAAAAGTAGAGGTTCAATCACATATTTTATACTGTGCACAAGTTGAACTTTGCTGAAAATCAAAAAAAAAAACTAATGTACTACCAGTTATTTATAAAAAATGGGGTGTATTTTTGCTCATCATCCTAAGTTTCATAATCATGCAGAGCAACACTGAGACAGAGACAGAGGTCTGTAACAAGTTTGCAGGCAAGGCAATCTGCACACTCGAATATAGGTAAACTAGGCATGCTTTACAATAAATGGACATGAAGTCAGTTTCTTTCACAGGGTTGTTTTTCACAGGATTTCAATTTTGGGGGGCCATTTTAACATATAAATGCACAGATTTAAATAGGAATACATAAAATTTAAGGTTAAGGTTTCAATGAAAAGGTTTTAAAGGTTTCCTGCTTGTTTTCCTCGAAGCTATGAGTAAATGCAAAGAAGGTGCAGCAAAAGGCATCATCATTATTGTAAGGCACTTACACTACATTAATGGCACCTTTATTATAAATATGTTCATATATTTACTGACTGAGAGGAAATAATGAGTGAGTGACTTTGCTTTCTATCTCTAAGATGGAAGGAAATAACTGGGTGGCTTTGTCAGTGACAGATCAGATTTGTGCTCCACAAAGGCTTTGATCTTAAGGCTTTTTGACAGGCTTTAATCTGAGAAGACCACACACATGCACACGTGCACACACACAGACACACACACACACACTAAAGCCCATAATACACAAAATGGACTTTATTTATTTCCAGCCGTCTGTTTGTGGTTTAGAGAAAAGTCCACACAGCAGCAGTGCCACACTGAGCTGTTCCAGAAGACACTGTGGTTGATAAAGAACAAGAATGTGTATTAAAAAAAAAAAAAAACTAAGCAGCAACAACAGATGAGCTAAACTCATCTGTATTCCTTTATACACAAATTGTGGTGACTCATACCGCATTGTAACTCCGGGACTCTGGGGCTTTCTATGTCCACTGAGTCTGTTGTCACAAAGTCACTTTTATAAATGTGCCTGCTGTTTCTTTTAGTTATTTTCACTGGATTTGTTAACACAGGTGCACAGAATGTGGGAAGAAAAAGACATTTCGGCTACAAAGCAAAAATGTTGAAAACTAATAAGAAAGTGATTTTAGCCATTATGAAGCATCCTTGGGTTTATTATCAGAGTAGGACATAAATAAAAACAGCTGTACTTGGATGAAAGGAGGCAAACCTGAGAATAAATGGCTAAAATCCTAAACAAAATGGTAAGAGACAAAAGGGAGCTGCTGACCGGCTAAGCAAGACCATATATCTAAATATTCCATTCACTCCCAGAGCTGAATGGAGAGAGAGATTGCCGCACATTGTGTACACATTTATATTCCTTCCCTGAGTAACAACTCAGTCAAATCTGAATGCACATGACACACAAATGCTCAGAATCCATGCGACTAACATTGAAGATACCATTCAAAAGTGGCCATTCCATAAATCTGCTCAGAAATCAGATAAGAATATGCTCCTTATCACCCCATAAACCTGCCTGAGAATTATAATGTTTTTATGTTTGTCTTCAGTATCAAAGCTATAACTGTCTGTACATCTATGGGCACAGTGCAAACAGGAAGTGCAAATAAATTATTCAGCATACTTTAATTGGTGCCAGTGTCCCAAAATGTAAACAAATATAGGCTGAAGCCAAAAGTGACTACGACTATCTGACTGACTCATTTGCAGCATCTGCTGTTGGAACGTGGACGCCCATGGGAAGTAGACTCTTTTGTTTACTTTGTTAGCATGAGCATTCACTGCTATTAACTCTTGAATTTGGACCATAGCTAACATACTGTAACAACATGCCATGTATTTTCATTAGTACTGGATGTTAAGCTGTGTTTTTGTTTATCTATCAATGCCTACACGCCAATGGTAGAAACTGGTGCTAAGGTAGAGTAGGCTACATTAGCAGCATAGCTAACCAAAACACAACAGAAACTTGCGGGCTAGAAACATGACTGAAGCCTTTCGCCTCAATGAGGCCGTTATCGTACACACCTACAACACTCCCCCTGCAACCCTCCCCCCCGACCAACGCAGCCCTTTGCATAAAAACACAGCAGCGAGTTGCATTTTAAAGCACTCAGTCTGAACGCTCGCTAAAAACCTGCCAATGATCCCAACAGTATTCAAGAACCTATGACTCTATTGTCTTGCCGTGTTACATCCTTAATATGGTACCTATCCCTTATATGCTATGTGATACAGTGTGCTGGTAAAATCTTCTGCATGTTATTCTGCATAGCATTTTCCCTACTACATCAAAATAACCACAACTCTTCTGTGTAAGACAGCATCTGCATCAGACTGCTGGACTTTCCTCCAACATCAGCTCATTCAACTAAATGACAACATTAACATGCTGCAAAAGCTACAAAGATCCACATAGGGTGTGAGGAGTAGAAGTAAAATGCTCAACATCACCCAATCCAAAAACTTCAGTAAAGTGAAAACTGTCTTTATTGATAATCCATTCAGCTTTGTTCTAAATTGCTTACTGCCTCTTAGTCTCAGAGGGGTTGAGCAAATCCCAGCTTTCACTGGATGAAAGACAAAATACACCCGGGACAAATGTAACAATACAGAACCAATGTGTGGATGCATTACAAAAATAATTTGCTCTTCACTATCATTATGGAGAAATAAGTTATATGTATGACTTGAAACTCAGTCTCAGCAGCCTGCTAGTCAACCTTTGTTTGTTCCACACTCAGAGATGGCAATCACAAGGTCAGTACTGTTGTTGGCTGAGGAGAAACTATGTACCTTACATAACTGGCAACACTAGCCAGAAGTGAGAGTGAAAAAAGATGGGTTATGTGCAAGTTCTCCTTACGTGGACGACCTTATCTCAATAGATCGAAATCAAATCTGTGATAGCACCAGGATCACACATAAGATATCTGTGTGAATGGAGTAGAAAAACTAACCATTTAGCTGGCCAGCATGATGTTGCACAGGCCATGTTTGACCAGAAGCACCACCAGTTCACTTGGAGCGCTTTGTATCTCTGCCAGATTGTAAATCCAGACCAATTAGTGTCACCCCAACAGATGAAAACACAGAGCAGCACCTCTCTGTCTTAAGGGCCCTCTTCTCTCTACTGTTCATAATGCAATTAATTAGCAAGCCCTTCTTTAATTAGACACCTCACTGGTCCTAATTAAAATTAGGCTCAGTCGGTGAGCGCTTGCATGCGACACACACATGTACAAGCACACAAAAACAGTTTGAGCATTACAGGTCAATATCCGTGAAAGAGCTAAAAGCATGGGAGTTTTTGACTGGCAGGATGGTTGACATGGTGAAAGGCAGATGAATGTGAAATCTCTGCTGTGTAGCTTCCAGGTTTTGGTCATGTGACCTCCAGACGGTTCAGACGAGCAGAGCCACAGGCTACAGCAGGCTAATAAAAAAACAGACCAAAAAAGGTTACGTGTTTCAGACTGTCTCAAAATAACAGGATTAGAGTTCATCTCTCACCACCAGCTATTTGTTGCTGGTAGTATTTAAATTACATTCTATCAGGAAACACATCAAACTACACAAACTGAGCAACTGTAATTTCAGGTAGGGTCTGTGTAGCATGACACAGGTTAACATTGGCGCATTTTCCCAAAACAAGATAGAAAGCTTTTGTTTATTTTATGCTTTCTTTTACTATTTACTGCTAGGATTTGAGTGAGATAGTATGGTCAGTACCGTCTTGCCATTTTCAAGTCTGTTTTCCAAAGGGCACTCTGTCACCAGCAGCCTATTGGAGCTGTTAAAGAGTAAAGGATCAGTCTCGGTTGCTGGGCCAAAGAGGAGAGCAATGAGTCCTAAAAGACAGCAACAAGAACCATGTTACACTCCCCGTTCACAAATTCAGAACCTGCATTCAAACGCAAACAAATCCTCAAGACAGAATTACATGATTTTCTCTGAGGAAAAGTAGCATCAGGCTAAATGACCTACACACACGGTCATGGTGATGGTCATGCTGCCCTTAATCATGTAAAAAGTTGATGCAGTGAAAGGGGATAGAAAAATGGGGTGCTGAAATCACTGCTGACATCTGGCACTGGCAGTAAATTAACTGTTTTATTTATATGTACGCCTGCTCCTGTGTCCTTTAACTCATATTTCTACCCACTTTAAAAAATCCTTAAGGTCAAGGGCTCCTCTCTACTGACTTCAAGGAAATGAGCACATGCCCAGGTTGTACATGTGATAAACAACTCACCTGCCTCATTAAAAAAAAAACTTAAAGATTAACACCACTGCTGAGAAAACGTCTTTCTTTCAATAATAACTTATCCAAATGACATTGGTAATTTTTCCGTGTCCTCTTGGCCACACACACACAAGAAGCAAATGTAGTAAAATATTTATTTTAAAAAAAGTTACAAACTTTAAAACTAAGACTGAAAACGAATAAGGAGAAAGTATCTGATCAGAATCATTAGACAGCCACAGCTGCCTATTAGCAAAATACTTAAACATGACAGCCAGAAGATGAGATACAATAAACTACAAATTAAAAAGAAGAGCTTAGAAAACTGCAAAGATGCTTTGATACCCCAAAAAAATATTTCTATCCTGAGACGCTGCAGAGAAGTAACTACTGTACAGTAGATCTTACCTCAAATATATTATTAATATGGGGAGATTGTCTACACTCTCTTTCTCACATAATATGACTCATGATAATATATGAGAGTCTGGGCTTTAATGCAAATCAGCCACATCTGCCTAATGGTTTTGAGCCCATATTCTGTTCTATAAATAATTTTCACATGCTCATTTTTGCATTATTCTGCTCCTTTAAAAGACTCATTGAATAATGGTCACAACAGAAAAGTGGAACATATTTTTAAATCCATGAGAATGCCAAAACAAATAAGCTGTAAAAGTCAAATAAATTTAGGGAAATGTATGTTCCCTTCCTTTGCAATAATTCTGAGGGGAGCTTAGCAGACACCAGGTCCAGACTAATGTACAACGCATATTAACTTCTAATTTACAACTGTTTCTGTGCATCTTTGTCTTTTGGATTATAAGGAGTGAATCCTGCTCTCATGCCCTGAGAGCTTTATTGATCACCCACAGCGAAGAAATGCAGGGATCAAACTCAGACATGAACCTATTTACTTTAAAATGCTTGTTTGTTGCTTGTGCGTTTGTTGCAGAAGAGTGAGTGAACAAATGTCAAATTTCTTCCCTCACAGATTGTTGACATACTGTAATGTTATGATTTTGACAATTATTAAATGGATGATGCATTTGTTAGCACTGTAGCCTCCGAGCAAGAAGGTTCTGGTTTGAACCTGGCAGCCAGCAGAGCCTTATTGTGTGGGGTTTGCATATTTGCCCAGTGCATGTGTGGGTTTTCTCTGGGTACTCTGACTTCTTCCCACAGGCCAAAGACAGTTTAATTGGCAGCTGTAAATTGTTGGTAGAGGTTAATGTGAGTGTGAGTGGCCGTCCGTTTGTGTTTCAGCCCTATGATAAACTGGAGACCTGTTCAGGGTGTACCCCCCCTCCTTCCCCATGTCAGCTGGGATAGGCTCCACCCACCTCCATGACCCTCTACAGGATAAGTGCTATAGATAACGGACGGCTGTCTGGAAGCTTGAGATCGCTCAACTTTGATTTGACATGAACTCTATCCAGGCATCGTTTTCATTTATTTTTATTCAATAATCCTTTTTAAAAAGAACTGTAGCTTTTCCAGCATTAATGTTTAGTTTACCCAAACAGCATATTTGCTTACTCTTCCAAATGTCATTGTCACACAAAGACCCCCTTTGATGTAACTGCTCCAAAACAATGTCTTTTTGCAACAGACTCACAACATTAGAGGCATTTGGCCACAAAATTCCAATGAAAATAGGTAAAAACCTTCTATTTTTAGTCAAACAAACAAACAAATGGAAATTTGTTGTTAAAAAAGGAAACCAGAGTCTTGTACCAGGAGTGTAAGTTCTATTTTATTCACACCAGCACTAAAATCTGTCTATTTTTCCCACCCTCACTACAAGTTATTGCCATACACATAATTTGATCTGATGTAAAATAATTTAAATTAAACTGAGGTAATAAATACAATTTACACATATATATTTACTGACAGGTATTCTGATTGATTCATGGTTGGTTCCACATGTTTACTTACCTTTCAGGGAGTGAATTATGTAAATCTATACCTTTCTACAAATACAGTGAAGTTCTCCCATGTTACTTATTTATCTACTTTATATTTCATTTGTATTTTGTGGCATTCATGTGGACGGCAAAGTAAGAATTTCATTGTACAGGGAAACACGTTTCCTAACTGTGCATATGACAAATAAACACTTTGACCCTTTGATTCCTAACAAACTGTTCACTTCCAATCCAATTTGCATACATTTATACCTGTATTTTTATATGGTTTAAATGCTCTGCAGTTATACTGTAAACAGAAATGCATACTAATGCCATGTAAATTGGACTCACGCACTAGGTGTTGAAATTTGGATTCTTTGGCTCTGACAACTGGCCAAAAGGCAGGTTTTTGTGAAAGACATGTTGACTTGTGCTCTAGTCTGTCCTCTCTATCTGCTTCTCTTCTGTGTAACTAGTGCATACCATGATGCACTGAAAGTTACTAACAGATGCTGACATGAGACTGACTTCATACATTTATGGATGCAGTCCAGCCTCTATCATGGTTACGTCTCGGTTCCATACATTGGGTAATAATGTGTTTAAGGGATTCTCTAAGTCTCTTCCCCACTCAGTATTAGACAAGGACAGATGGAGTCTTTCTCTGCATGGTCTTTCACATGTCGCATGTCTCGTGGGTCACTGTGTTTTTGTTTGCTTCTCCTGTATCTATAGTGTACGTGGCATGTTTTAATGCAAGTACATCCATCTATCTATCAATCAGTTTATCTACTGTATTTATCCATCAATCTATGATTTTGTTTTGCTATTTCTACAAAAATCTGACCCATTCTATTGCACAGTAATGTTGATTTCCTATATAATGTTTTACATAACAGCACAAGGAGACCAAACAGAACAGATGTTTCAGCTGAAACATCAGTGCTGGGATGAATCTAAAGCTAAAATATATTGGATAAAAATGTTTATTTGAGGTACATGTTAAATGTGTACTATATCAAAACTTTATCAGTGAGGCTGTAACAAATGATTCCTGTCAATAATCATAGACTGTTTTCTTAACTAATTAGCTAATGATTTAGACTTGTGACTTCAGCCTTGAGCCAATAGCAAATCATCAAACTGATCGTTTTGTCAGAGAAACCCAAGGATATTCAGTTTACAATCACACAACACAAATAAAAGCAGAAAATCCTCACAACTAAGTAGGCGGAATTATGGATTGTCACTAAAATTATTCGAATTTCAAAATTGTTGCTGATTATTTTTCTGTTGATAAGCCTAATATTTCATCAACCAATAATTCTGGTTGTGAAATCAAAGGAGGTAGAAAAAAAAAAATCTTAGAACTCAGAACACATACATGTGTACGCCGTCTCCAACTATACGCATGAAACACACCAAAAATAGGCTTTTTTTCATTTGAGACAAGAGGTGGTATCAGTAGGGAGAAACACAGGCACAATTTCATTCCAAAACATACTGAACTTGTGACGCGCTACCTGATACAAATTAACACCACTGCAGCTGCAACAGCTGACTTCACCTTGAGCATATAATCACACCAAAAACTAGAGAATGAAAAAAAACAAAGTACAAAAACACACCTTCATCTTTGTGCTTATTTCCGTTCTATCACTTGATAAAAGTGGAGCTGTAATCTATAGTGTCTGTGACACCAAAGCATGTTTACTTTCAGTCTGCCCTGTTAACGTAGGTCTTTATACTGACTGCGTTGCTTCCTTTTTTTGGAAAACAGAATCCTTATCTAAACCTTCATGTGACAGCACATGAGAATACTAATGTTCGTGCTGCACCAGCATTTTTCCTCACAAAGTCCTCCACTTCTTTGCTGTCTGAGTAACACAGCTGTCTGGGGTTACATCAAACACACCTACACATACCCTTTCACTGACGGTGTCAGTCTTTCATCCCTGAGATGTCTGCGCCCCATCAACATCCATATGTCAGGGATTTTTCTGTCTCTCTTTCTCTCTCTGGTGTCGTACAACAGACCCAGCAAAGTGTCAGTTCATCGTTTGTTGCTGATTTGATATTACTACTGTCAGTCTACAAGCTGATCTTTGTCAACTTTTCATCAAAGACATTCAAAAGCACAGAGTAAGGAAACACGAGGGCCAAACGATCAGAGCCTGTGAAAGAGAGAAAGGAAAACAGAGAGGCTTGTGTGCAAGGATGCTGCTAGAAATTCGGGGCCTGAACAACAACATGTAGCAACGTGTGCCATCTCTGATGTGTTGAACATCAAACAGCAACCTCTTGCCACTTTAAAACAACCCCTGGAAAACTGCTCTTTTTTTATTTACCCAACAAGCTGTACTCCTGACATGTTTATGCACTTCCTTCTGCATGGAAGTGTTTCTGCTAAGCTAAAATCTGTCTCTACCCTCCATCCGAGTACAGGCAGATGAAACAAGGCTTCAGCCTGAATTGCCTGTACTGCATGCTAGTGCGGCTAAGACTGGTGGCGGGCAGATATATTCTCCAAGGGAACACAAACACTCTGAGAGGAAGCAGTGTGAGGTCATAGTGGTGTAGAACAATCAGATACATGCATGCTGTGGTATTATCAGCAATTAGTAACTTTTAGAAGATGGTTTCCATCCAAGTATTTTTCTTCTACATCCAGTATAATGTCTGAATTGAGACT